TATATCTACTTTATATAACCTTACGTATAACAATGTCAGCTTATTTGAATTGACTGAATTTAATTTAATGCAATTTTTCGATGGCGGTTTGAGAACTTATGATTCGCCGTCTTTCTTCTGATATGATGCATCAATTCCCATTCCATTTGTCATTATCAAAGGGGAAGTTGGCGAGAAATCAGCTTCGGTTTATTGATAAGGCACCAGAATACACTGAAGCGTAACTCTTCGCATGAACTAAAATTTCGTAATGCATGCCACATTTCTCTTCTTTCCCATTCCCTTGCAATCTGTGTTTCGCTGTTCGTGGCAGTTATATTGGAAACAGAACGACATATCCGAATCTGTCTGTATAACCCCGAAGGATCGTTGGATTTGTAAGGACTGTTTTTAGTCACCGAGAGTAATAATGAGAGCTTCCAATGGACGTGTCGCAGTTGAAAAACAGGCGAGATATCAGTTTGGCCAACGGGTCGACAACAATGTCAAACGACGCAAAAATTGCCATGGAGTATAGAGTGTGGTTGTGTGTGTGTGGTTGTGTGTGTGTGTGTGTGTGACAAGCCATGGACACCAACAACAACAACACAAAGAGCCAAACTCTTATCTAAAACAATTCGGTTTTTTTACACCCCCTCACAGCAAAGCTCAAAAACAACAGTTAACAGTTTGATAAGATTTCAAAAAGTCACACACAAATTCACTTGTCTGCGTGCTTCGCAATATGCCATTTCAGTTACCTGGTTAGAGTTCAAAAATGACATAAAACTAACGAAATACTATAAATAATCTATCATTAGGGTATATATACACTTAAGTACGTACATACTATGTGCGAAGCCTTTTCTATCAAGATCAAGATCGTCATTTAAGTACATAAGGAGAAATATAAGAGAGAGATTAGGTAGACGATTTCGTGTGAGGACTAAATCAAAGACATCAATTTAAGATCATATTATGTGTATGTCGTTGATAGACCATATAATTATCTAATATATATCGCTATATAATTATCTTTCCTCTCTCTCTATATATATTCTCTTTCACTATATCTTCTCTCTCTTCATTTTCTGTTGAAATGATATACATATATAAATATTGATATACTATAATACTAATGTTAGTTGATATGAACTGTTTTATATTTACAATTACAATTATAATATTATTAGTTCGAAAAAAAAAAAAAACCAAAGAAAGTGCATCTTTCACATTTTCTCTCTACATGCATCTGATATATTATTGCATAGATCCGTATAAGTATTGTATTACAACTTGCTGTGTATATTGATCTTATTCGAAAACCAGTTTGCGGTTTCAATTAGCGATGCGTTGTTGCTGTTGTTATTGTTGTTGTTATTGTTATTGTTGTCGACACAAGATATTGACACTGACTGACTTGATGAGTATTCATTTAAAATTTTTCCTAATGACACTCACTACGAAGAGGTACAAAGGTATTTCAAGCTTAATACAGAGCTTTTCTGGAATAGTTAATGATATTATGATTTGCTCCTATGAAAAATATTAGCATAAACTAAAATCAATCGACTCCTTTCAACAAGAGAACACATTTCATAATATTTATATTCATTAATTACATTTACTTTTAAATTAATTTCAAGTAAATTAAAAAGAAGGGACTTTTTTCTTTTTATTTATATCCATTATTTATTTATTCAATCATTAAATATCGCCCGGTCTACAGAAACATCCATTTACTGTACTTGTAATCGCATATATTTATTTCGCATTCGCTATGTACTAAAAAAGAGATTTAAAGAACTCTCTTATCGTCTTTTAAATCCACTTTGAGTTCATTTTAAGTAAGTGTGTGTGCGCACATGTCTGTATATATCTTTTTCATTTTGTTATTGTTTCTTGTGTGTTTTAATTCAGCTGCTTTAACAGTTCATTTGTTTATATTTTGAATTAACATTCGCACATAACTGCGACACAGGCCCAAAAAAAAAAAAAAATACAAAAATTGCTCTTGAAATTTAATGTAAGTACGTATGTATGTATGTGTCTACATGTGTGCGCGTGTGCTTGTGTTCGTTTAGTTAGCTTGGGATCTTTGTCAAGTGCGCGGCGCAGATGTAAACAAAGTCGCACATACAATTCACTTAGTATACTAATACATTTTAGTAATAGTCCACATTTGTGGGCATATGTACATTTGTATGTACATTCTGTGCCATTATGTACATAGTATCTATGTAAGCATTTATGTTTTCTTCAGGTCTTTGAGTGCTATGCACACAATATTGCGTGGCCACTTGCGCAACTTGACAACCAGCTGACAATCTAGCGTGCACTCTTGCGCTCTGTTTTGTGCTCTTGAACGCAAAATATTTTGCGGCCGCTCACGCTCTCTGTCTCTCTCTCCCGACGACGCAACGTAAGCACGCTCAAATATTCAACTCGTTTTCGTTCGTTATTTATGTATGTAATTATGTGCTCGCATACAAACGTATGGATATACTATGTACGTACATACATGTGTACCATAATGCTCTTTTAAACATTAACATTTTATTAGAATTAATAATTAAATAATCTGGGAAATCACATGCATATGTTTGCATTTATAAGTACATATGTATGTACATATGTGTATTTGCAGCTGTGTTCATATTTGTCATCACTTGTTTGCCGGTTTCCTGCCACCACACACATTGTCGCTAAAGCAACAATAAATTTTCTTTTTCCTTGTGTTTTTTTTTAATTCTTTATTTTCACTTACCAACCGGCCTATTGTCACAGTCAGTTTTGTAATTTAGATTCATTTATCATATATGGCACCTTTACACCTTTATACTATGCCAGTTGCGAAAATAAAGGAGACACTTTGGCACGATGCGAATTTTCTGTCAACGACGCGCAACAACGCTACTAACGAACACCGCGCGCGCGGGTGACTAGCGGTTAACTGATCGACAGGCGACTTCACAGCTGGAAGCATGGAGAGTGCTGAACAAGGTGACGCATTGCGCATGTCCATTCCTCATCGCACTCTATGAGCGAAACACATTCACTGCGTGTGACGTCTCGCTCTCAGAGTGCTACAGCTGCTCTAGCTACAAAAGCGCGAATCTTAAGAGCGTGTTGAGTGCATCTGTGTGTGTGTATTTATGTGCACCAGTGCAAGCAAATCAACAGAGAGACTATGCAGGTACAGGGTATTTCTAAGTCCGAGCTCAGTTGCATACTTACTGACCAGCGACTTGGTAATCGATTTCAATTTGATCGCAATGTCATCGACTTACAATCGACTTTTAACGCATTTATTTTACATACGAAATTTAATAAATATACTTGTACAAAATTGAAGCTTATATTTATTTATCCATATATTTGGGTTTTATATTTATTAAGCGCAGTAATTGAAATTATACATTCATGTTTTATATACTCTTAATTAAAGACGCTGAATCGCGATAAGAAACAAAACAAAAGTTTACTTCTACATCCATACATCCATACATTCATATACATATGTATATACACGCATTTCCATGTGTGCGAGAAAAGTTGATTAGATTGTTTTAACAAAATTCAATTGAAATCTATAGAACAGATCAACAGATCTATAGAACAGACCAGTTGTTCGGTCGTCAGTTAAAGTGAATATAGGCATGCATATGTATGTATTTTAAGAGTCTGGCAATGACCACAGCGAAGCCCGTGCTCTGTGTGGGCTGCACCGTAATTGACTTTGTGACAATCAACGATAGTTTCCCCACGGAGGACACGGATCGACGATGCCTCGACGGGTATTGGCAGCGTGGAGGGAATGCCTCTAACGTTAGCACCGTGCTTCGATTGCTGGGCGCGAATGTCGAGTTTTTTGGTATGCTCAGTAAATCGAACGGCTTCCGGGTGCTGTTGGATGATTTGGATCGGCGTGGCATCGGCACACAGCACTGTCCCAAGACGGAGAAAGATCCGCCGTTCTCCTCAGTGATAATTGTCAAGGAGACCGGCTCGCGAACCATTGTGCATTGCAATAAAAACTATCCGTATATAACGTATGAGGACTTTATGAAAATAGATCTTGATCGCTACGGTTGGGTTCACTTCGAGGCACGTCATGCGCACGAAACAATCAAAATGATAAAAGCCGTGCGAGAGCACAATCGAATTCATGGCTCCAGCATTCGTATCTCCTTAGATTTTGAGACAATGTTTGAGAAGAACCTACCACTTTGCGGGCTATGTAACTACGTTGTGTTTTCCAGCGAGCTGGCCAAGCAGCAGGGCTGGAAGAGTCCCCGGGAAACATGCTATGCTCTTGCCAGCAGCGTAGAACCCACATGTCCTAGCATAATTTGTCCTTGGGGCAGCACAGGTGCTGCATGTCTGGATACAGCTGTCAATGAGTTCACCAATGTAGCCGCCCTCAAGCCTGATCGTATCGTGGATACCCTTGGTGCCGGTGACAGCTTTATGGCTGGCTTCATATACGCCACCTACGTAATGCAGAGCAGCCTGTCGGATGCTGTAGGCTTCGCTAATCGCGTGGCGGGTCACAAGATTACGGATTTCGGATACGATCACATTGCGGGACTACAGAAAGATGACAAGTTTACAACGGATTGAACATGGTTATATATTAATTATATGTAAACAGAAATAAAATATAGTTCTCAAATATATGAATAATGATATACATATGTCGGAAGAAAGGAAACAAACATATAAGCGAAGCTCCTCTAAAGCCGTCATTTCAGAATTCCAAGAATCTTCATTAAAATCGCCATTAGACTACGACAGTTTCCACAGGCACACCACAGATGAGTATACAGCCCAGTGCCTATGTATATTTGGTGAAACATGCTCCTTTGTCATCTGAATCTGTGGTCCCTGCCGATGAGGAGGCGTTGCCGATGCCGCTGGATGCGCTGCCATTTTTATCTTTCTTGCTTTGCTCAATTCTTTTATCAATTAGCTGAAGATTACAAAAAGTTGCTAATTAGAAAGGGTACATGTTCATTTGTAAAGATCTATTACCTTATCACGCAAACGGTTGATTTTCCGCAATCTCTCAATCCAGTTGGATGCATACAGACTTTTTTTCGCCATATTTTCATAGACCAGTGAGGCCAACTGTAAGAAAATAATTTGATGTTTGTATTATTTCTGGAATTATCGCCTAACTAGCACTAGTATTGTGAATATAATATAATATAATAATATATGCATACATATATAGATGAAATGGAGAAAACCCAAAATACTAGTGCTAAAACATCAAGTTATTTCTTGGAGAGGATCTAAGTCAAATATCACTCACATTTGCGTGCAGCGCCATCTGTCGGGCTAGCAAGGGAGCACTGCGATCGGAGACTATTCGCTCCTTTGGATGGCAAACGTAATTAGTCATCTCTTCGCGTGCGTCCACATAGATACGATTCGAATTTAGCTCCAGCGGCTCCACAATTACACAGGCGTGGTTAAACTGGCCCTGTAAGAGATCGCTCATCAGATTGTACAATGCTATTATTGGAAAAAAAAAACATACTGATATCGTATTCCTGTCATATTTCTCTCCACTTTCGTTGTAAATGATCTTGACATAGTCATTGCCAATATGCTTTTTCTTCTCCGTGCAGTTGGGATCGTCCTGCAGATTTGTAGGCATAAGAGTAGCCACATGAAAAGTAACCTAAGCGGGAAAGCCGGGAGGAATTAGTTGGCATATTTATTTAACAAAATGTGTATAGGAAACAAACCTGCATTATATCATCCTTCCAGATGTAAGCGAATTTTCCATCTGCCCCACTTTTGTCCAGATGAATAAACAGGTTATTCTGCTCGGCGTCCTTGAGGCTAACCAATGTTCCAATGTTGCGCACAAATTCAACGTAACGGGTGCTGCCATGGGAGTTACGCAAAATTTCTACAGCATTGTTACACTGATTTGGGCCAACATACAAAACTCCGATCTTATGCGTCTCAAAAGGTGGTACAAGATCGAGCAGTCTCAATACGGTAGGCTGATCCGGCCCCACTTTAAGCGGTGTCTCCGTCACCGCCTGCTCACCAGTGCCGTAAAGCTGCAGGAAAACAAAGCTGGGATTCATGCACAGCTTGGCGCTGATCGGCGGCTTGGTGGCACCAAAGCTTCTGAAAGCTTCGGGTGACGGGGATCGCGCTTTACCGTTGTTCACCTCCCGCACTGTCGAAATCGTTTTAGAGCGACCGCGCATTACGTCACCACCGCCATTATTATAATCGGGGCCGCAATTTTTACTGCTATAGCCGCTGCTATTGGACTTGGCTAGACCGAGACCGGGGCCAGCTGGAGTGGGCGACTGTTTGGGTGTAATAGCTGTCTGCACTTGACCCGGTGATAAGGGTGGCTTACCCACAGCACCCTGCTTCAGAGAGGATGCTGACGCAGAGGTCTGCACCGTGCCCGGCTGAGCTCCGCCCTCTGACGCCTGGCTGTTAACATCGTCGGCTGAGTGTTGCTTGGGCGGCAATGTGCCAGCTCCTGGTTGCAATGGACCCTTCACAACTTGGGCAGCCTGAGGCGGCGTTGAACCAGCTATCTCCTCGGGTATAGCTTCGCAGCTGACCCGCATGTCTTTGGTGCTGTACTGTACGCTCTTCTTCTTCGACGGCAGCTGGTGTTCTTCGAAGGCCGCCTTGACGGCATCTCGCTCTTGGGAAAGGGGTGCTGGTTTTGAGGCCAGGAATGCCTGGCGCCAGCTAGAGGTCATTTCTGGACTAGAGTTGACCCGCCGCACCGGATTTCGTACTCGACTCTGGCCATCACCAAATGCCAAAGCATCATCGTCGGCTTCACCATCGCTGACGCTGCCACTGAGTACTGCATCTTTGCCCCTCTTGACGCAGGCGGCCAGGCGTGGAATATCAATGGCAGCTGTGCCGCCGTTGCCTCCGCCGCCGGCACTGCTCACGGAGTAGACCTCCTCCTGGCGATACAGTGCCCGCGCCTTAGCCACCATTCGGCTGCGAATTTCGGCGTTTTGCGCCACTGTCGCTGGTGCAAGTTCTGATTCTGCTTCTGGTGCGGGTTCTGGTACTTGTTTTAGTACAGGTACTGGTACTGGTACAGGTTCTGGTACAGGCTCTGGTTCTGGTTCAGGTCCTGGTACTGGTTGTAGTTCTTGCTCCATCTCGAGATCGGCCTCTTGTGCTGCCTGAGTTTGGTGTTGCGTTTGCTGTTGCTGTTGCTCCTGCCGTTGCTGCTGCACTAGCTCCTGCATTGGGTTGTCTGGCCCAAAAACGCCGCCAAAGGCAGTGGGCAGGAACAGTGAAACGACGCTATTGAAGGGCAAATCCTGACCAAAACAGTCGTTGGCAATGGGATTCTCAATGCGAGTTATCCATGAGACATTGCCCGTAGGACGTCTTATGAAGATTTCGGCCCAGCTGGTGCAGGCACGCACGCAAACCGGTTGCTGCACTGCTGGACCCGGTCGCGTGGAAGGACCAACGCTAGCCGTTGACAACGAGAGCGAATTGCCCAAAAGCGAAGTATTGCTACCTGTGTGAGAGCCCTCAACTAGGCCCCCAGAAGCCTCTGGATTGGACCCGCGTCGCGAGTACGTGTCTAACGAGATCGTTGAACTGTTCGATATCTGCCGATGCGGATGTGCGGTTGCCTCCGAATTCGATGTAGATGATGACGAAGTGTGCTCCGTGCTGCCGGCGCTCTCATTCACGCTGCTATGCTGAAAGGTCATTTTTGTGTAGCGCCGTTCGCGCTCCGGCGACGAAGGCGGCTGCACTGCATCACTGAGACCCTTCGAGTTCAGACTAATGCTKGGCGCCTTACCCATTTGCGCGCAACGCTCGCAGAGGCCGTTGCGTGTCGGTCCCGATGGACAGCCTGATGTGGTAATTGTGATCAAATTATGACCCACCAGCCATGTTTGGGAGACGCCATCTTTTAGCAAATAGTCAATAGCCGGCAAGCTGTAGTTACGGAGATTGCACAACTAATAGATTCTCGAGCATTTCAATCATATTTACCGCTTGGGTAGGGAGGGGCACGGCGAGAATGTATGACGCTCCAGAAAATCAAAACACGTCTCAACCAAGTCCGCATGAAAGTTACGCAGCGTATTGTCCATCGTCGGACGCATACCTGCATCATTGCGGGTCATTGCGCTATTCCTACTGCCGCGTTCCGTAAGACTCGTGCTGCGCTTACGACTGGAGGAATCTTCATTCACGTGCAACGAGTTAATGTTGGCTATGTCATCGTGAAGCATCTTGGCATTCGACTGCATGGACTACGAAACAAGAAAATAACAATTAGGTATATGGATTATGATAATGATGTGAATATTGGCTTACCGATCTGATATAGCTTACGCAATTCTTGCGCTGCTCCAGCTTGATCTTCAGAAACCAGCCCGCTATCACATGGTGAGCCAATAATACGGTATAGTGGTCGTATCGATGAGGCTTTGTGTATGGCAGCGATATGGCAAACACATACATATTTTGCATGAGCGTAAAGTTGGAGACCAGATGGTTCGGCAGATGGGTCAAAACTGTCAACAAAAATGAGTTAATGAATTACAATGAGCACGCATTGCTTTATCATAGCTTAGCATAAACCACTCACGGGATAGAAATTCCAGAACTGGCAGGGCCACCGCAGTTCTGTCGGACAATTTGCTTATTTGCCACAAAATATCTGGCAGCTTACGCATCAGGGCGTCGGGCATCTCCAAGATGAGAATGGCCATTGTATTGATGCAGACATCGGCAATGCCTGCCGGTATGAGGAGGTAGAGGGATGTAATGATGCTGTTTTGCTGCGGTGGCAGTAGGCACTCGTGATAGATAACTAGCGATGCGATTGCCGGCACCACAAGGCGGTGGAATTCGTTGGCGGATAATTTGAACTTGTTGTTGGTAACCGAGTTGATTTTGAGCAATGCGTTGGCTAGCTTCTCTATGTCGCTGCCTTGCAGAAGGGCCTTATTCTGCAGCACTGTGGGCAGCTTCGTTATAACCAACTCAAACACTTTGAGATTGGACTCGTGCTCTAGACAGCGGACAATCAGATTACAGGCGCGTCGCATAGAAACTGATGCTGTTTGCGTTGGTGCTTGCGCTGACAGTGGCAGCTCGATGCCCAAATAGTGGCTAAACTTTAAGGCTTCCGTGCCGTTTTTAGGATATCCAATGTGATAGGAGGCATTCGCGCGAATCTTGAGCAGCCATTCGAATATCTGCAAGGCATTGCGTGCTGGATTAGCATATATAGAATAAATATATACAATTTGAAATCATTTTACCTCATGCCGCACACTGCTTGCCTGCTCGAAGACCTTTGGCCGATCGTAGTGCAGCTCTAGATGATCCATCAATATATTAAATATCTTAATGGCATGTGTGGCCGGCTGGCGATGCAGCTTAATGGTAAACACCTTAACAAGCCCATCGACAGCAGCGGATATATCCTCGATCTCCGTCTTAGCTTTTATGACAATGCTGCTGCCCGCCTCCGCTGGGCCGGCCTCAGCCGCAACTTGACGCATCTGTTCGAAGGGGCGATTGATGAGCGCCTCCAATATGTCCAACAGCTCCAGGCAACGCTTCGTATCACAATGAATCGCAAAGTTAGAGAGAGCAGAAGCCACTGCCTCGCGCACTTGTACGCTCGGCTCCTGGTAGATCTGCGCCAGCTGTGGCACAACCACCCGATCGAGTATCTCCTCCTCATAGCTGTATCGATTCTGGTTCATAATCTGCTCGAGCGAATGGATGATCTTCTTGCGCACATTCACGTTAGACATGCGGTAATAGCGATGCACAAACTGGGACAAGCACGTAAGCCACTCGGGTCGCGTTGCGGACACCCGTTGCGTTCGATAGTCGATTAGGTTTAGGACAGAGGCCTCAGGTCGCCGATCAGCGACCCGTTCGATCAGATCGTAAATGCGATCCACATTGCAAAGTATTTGTGTGCGATCGTTTTTCAACAGTTTCTCAATGCAGTCGATGTTCTCGTGGAAATTGATTTGTAAGTGGTGCAATCGATCCTTGTTAACGCCCGAGCGCTCTGCAAAATAAGATATATTAAACAAAATTGACAATTGGAGATCGATGAGCGCTGATCTCGCAATACGCACCATACTCCTCGATGTTGTCGACAATCGCCGACATAATGTCGCAGATCAGATCCCATATTATCTCGGAGAGTTCGTGTCTGTATTTGTTGATCACCATGCGCACACTGAGTATTACCTCATAGGTCACGATCACCTCATTGCTATCCAGAGCCTACAATAGTAAATCAGTTTATATACATGGATAATGACAGACTCTTGGCTCGAGCAAGTTACATTTCGAAAGCCCATTAATACGTTGGTGGCGTAAATCATCGATGAGACCTGAAAAATGACGTTCGAGCCGAAAATGTTCATGTTGAGATGAAATACGGCGCCTCGCAACAGCTGGGCATCCTCATACTGTCCCTTGTCGTTGAGTATGTTGCACATTATCTTCATGGAGTGATAGCCCAGCTGAGTGCCCAGCAAGTTCTTCATGATCTAAAAAATACAAATCAAAATTAAAAATTTAATTTGTAATCAAATTCCTTTGGAGGCTCATTTATCATTTGGCACGAGACTTAAAAATTACATTCATAAAATTCCAAAAATATGAAAAAACAGATTGTTAAGGAGTTCATAACTGTGAAGAAGGTGCGATATCTGCCAAGAGAGGAGCCGCCACCGCCTCCGCCGCCRCCGCGCCGAGTGCTCATAGTGGGTCGCTGTACCTTGGATGTCATCAACATATGCAACGAGCAACCAAAGCCCGGCATCATCGAGCGCACCGATGAGGGCTTCTGGCGCCTTGGCGGCTATGCTCCGAATACATGCTGCGTCCTGCGGCGTTTGGGCTCCGCCTGCGAGTTTCTCGGCCAGCTGACCAAGGTGCCCGCCTTCGAGAACCTAATGAACAGCTTCCAGGCCATGGGCATCGAGATTTCCAATTGCCCGCGCACCAACCAACAGCCGCCGCATCGCATCATCGTCGCAGTGCGCGGCCAGGTTCAGCAGACGACCGTGGAGTACACCAATCATTCACACGAGCTCACCTATCAGCAATTCGTGGGCGCCGTTGACTACCGCCAATACTGCTGGATACACTTCGAGTCGCGCAACACCGGAGAGACCATCCGCATGGTGCGCGCAGTGCGGGCATATAATGATCGCAGTCCCGACGCTTACATTGTGCTGTCGGTGGACCTGGCCGACATGAAGCCCCACAGTTGTCTCATGGCCGCCTTGGCCGACTATGTGCTCATCCGCAAACAGCTTAAGGTGGACAACGGCTACATGAATGGCCGAGAGACCGTGTGGGCAGTGCGCGACGTGATGGATGTGGCACGCAAGCGCTGGCAGAGTATGCAGCCAAAGAAGAGCCCATACATAACTGAGGACATACCAGAGCTGGATCCAGTTACGTGCAGAAAGATAACATCTCACCAGCCGATTATAATATATGACAACTATGAAGAGGGCTCCAGTTGCCTAATGCCCGACGGCAGGTACTTCAAAGTGGGCCCCCACAAGCCGCAAAAGATCGTCGATGCCATTGGCGAGGAGGAGACCTTCGTGGGCGCGTTCATCTATGCCATGCAGGGAGACAAGATGTCAATGCGCGATGCCATTGAATATGCCACACGAGCTGCCTGCTTCAAGGTCTCCATATATGGCTTCGATCAAATGCGCTGCATGCCCAAGGATCTAGTGGCTTGCTATCACGCCTGATGCAACGGGTGTATCTGAGAAATGTTTGTTATACAATTGTATGAATGAAAAAGCAATGCATTTTCGATTGTTGGTGAATCATAGAGTCGACATATGTAGATAACGATACTCATTTCGGAGTTGATGTTTAGCTGGTTAATTATCAACCCAATTCGCGGTCGATAAGAAACTGTAAACACCTGAACAGGGATCAGATAAGGTGTAAAAGAACATTCTTCGGCTGACTATCAACTAGAATTTCATTACCATAAGCAAACAAATTGTAACCCCCCAATCTGGCATCGGAAATGAGCTGATAAATTCATAGCCAGCCAGCATTTAGTGCCATAAAAGTGGAGCCGATATCAAAAGTGTGAAGCATTCCACACAATTCCCTGGACAAAAGTAAAWAMTCATGAAGAACTGTAAGTTTTGGTTACATCAATAATCTTTGATTTTGCAATCAAGATATTCCTGGTCTTCCAGATCAGCTGCAAGCGTTCATTGTGCTATTGCTGCGGCTGGCGAAAATCAGAGGCGACTCTGAAAGCGATATTGAAGGGCTCTGCGGCAGTGCCTCAACATGGACTATTATGCCGAATAAGCAGCATTGCGATAGGTTCTATGTGTGCACGGGCATGAAGGACAAGAGCTACCAGGAATTTCAATGTCCGCCGGAATATCATTTCAACAGCCAGGAGCAACGCTGTGTAAGAGGCTCGTGCTCCACCCGCTGCAATACGACGGGCGTTCAGCGCTTGGAGGGCGATTGTACGCACTTCAAACGTTGCTCGAGCCAGGGCGAACTCTCAGTTATGAAGTGCTCCTATGGCTTCTACTTCGATGCCAGCCGCAAAGCCTGTCTGCCGGTAAACGTAACGCCAGCTCATCAGTGCAGCTGCATAYTGCCAGAGCACTCAATGCTAGCCAACTCGAACGACTGCCGAAGCTATTATACTTGTGTCGGCGGGCAGGCCAAGGTGCAGCAGTGTCCTCAAAATTATTATTATGACGCTAGCGTTAACAGTTGCCTGCTGGATATGAAAGGCGAATGCCAGCCAGCTTTTCAGCTGGTCGAGCTGCCCTTGAAAGAGTGCCAAAAAGAAGGCAGTCGGCTGGTGCCGCACTCGGAGGACTGCAGCCGATACTACGTCTGCATTGGCAGCCAGGCCATTGAATTGAGCTGCCCCATGGGTCAGAAATTCGATGTGGTCTCCCGTTACTGCACAGCTGATACAGACTCCCAGTGCTTTACAGCAACAACTAGCACGCAAGCGACGCCAACTACAACTCAGAGAGTCAGCAAGGACGTGCAGAAAGTCAACAGCAGCAAGCAGGCTGATCAATTGAGCGCTCACAAGGCCAAGCCTGAGGAAATTAGCAACAACAAGTTGTCATCAAAGTTTTTGTTACATTAAAAATTATATTCAATCCGTGTTATACTTGTCTGCCCCAAATAAAGTAAACTAATAGTCTGACATACCTTATACGAAGCCTGGCAATAGTGATTGCTGTTCACTGTGCGGCACAGTGTGACGATGCACAGATGCAACGGCTCGCTGGGGAAAATGGTATAGCCGATGACCATCTCCAAGACGGTCAGGCATTGTAGTCCAATGTCATCGTTGGGCACCGTGCAGCTCAGCTCGCAGGCATTTCTGAAACACAGATGCAATCAGTCAGTTCAGATAAGTCATATTTGCAATGTCACCCACTGCACTATTCCAACGAGCACATCTTTGTCCAGGTGGGCTGCATTGAACTTAATGAGATTAATCATCATCTGTAGATAGGGACGCAATAAATCGGCATCTGTGATAGCTGGTATCCAATGCAGCATAAATTTACCAATCTGCAAGCAGACAAGTCAAATATATATTTGAGAATTGAAGTTCCATGGGGACCCATTTCACCTTCTCTTCGAAATTGGTAATATCTTTGCCGTTTTCTGTGAGGGTATCGAGCAGCTCCAGGAGATGCGGGAGATCCTCGTGCGCCTCATGATTCTGTATCACAAGGAAAAACTTTTCACGCATTATCGTCAGGTTTTTGTATTGCGTGAAAATTAGACGCTTATAGAAGCTCAAGGTGATTTGGCGTGTTTCTGCCGGCTTGTTGGGCACGATGAGATCGTTGGTTAGTTGCCACAAATTGGTTATGGAGGTCTGCAAGCGAAACAACATCAATATTTATTGGTTTATACAACTTGCCGGCTAGCGAAGCCATTTGCCTTACTTCATCCAAATTAATGTTCTGCAAATGCAAATCACCCAATTCTTTTAGCATTTTGCAGCGCTGTGCAATGGGCTGCTCTGGTTTCAGCTCGAGCTCAAACTCTGGTCGCAATGTTCGCTCACCAGAGTTTCCTGCCAAAATACAACATCCTTATCAAAGCAATTGTTGCATTTATTTTGATCATTTTTACCTGGTGATTTTGTGTTCTTAAGAAAATTTTTAAACTTTGATTTATCTCTGGAACCCATCATAAATCGAGGTTTTTGCGTTGCTAGACGCCTAACTATCTATGGTATACTTAAAATTCGTTCACTTCAATTAAAATAAACAAAAAATAACACATTTATAGGGAACTGCAGCTGGTTTGTAAGCAATTTGGCCCAACTGAACAGAAATAACAACAAAATAGTAGAGGGAGTCCCTTCAAAAAACCCTATTTACATAAATTCAATAACACATGTGCTGCCAATTAATAATAATAAAAAAAAATATATNAAACGCTACATTTTGTTTGCATGAGCCTTACAAACGCTTTTATGATTTAGGTATACCCTTCGTTCAAAAGGAAAAAGCTGGGATCGTCGCGAACAAAAATTTCAATTTTTGTGCGCCGCTGAGAGTGATGATTTCAGCGACCATAGAGAGCGAGAGAGAGGAACTGAGAGAGAGAGAGTAGGACAAATGGCACATAGATGTGCTTCATACATAATCACGACCATTTCGTCTGAGCGCTCACAGCGCACTATTTTTGTCGTCCAATATTTTCACTGCTCGAACCTCCAGCGACCGAGCCGAGCAAATACGAAGTAAAGTGGTCGACCAACTTAACATTTTCTGCTGTAGAAAAATTTGTTCTACATGTCTAGTCTATGTGTTCTCTGGTCAGTGGCTGCTAATAACGATTGGCGGAATGTTAAGTTTTCGCTGGACAAAAACATATGTTTTCAAATTATGAACCATATGATGAACGACAATAAGTGACTTTCGCTCATTTTGTGTTCCATTGAACTTATTCCGATTGATCAGAGGACAACTCTATTTTGTAGCGTCTCCAAAAAAAAAGTGAACAAATTGCATTAAGGAAAAAAGAAAATTATAAATTTGTGTACGACTGTCATAAAGTGCTTAAATACGCATCTGGGAGAAATACATTTTAATTCGCTTTTTATTGCAACGTCAGTGTGTGTTTACAAATTTTGTAATTAACTTAAAAGCTCAAGGCGTACGGCGTGCATGTGTTCTTGATTGCAAAAAGAACGAAAACAACAGTTACTTGTCACATTTGACGCATCAAGCCAGACAAAGGTAAAAATTCATATTCATATACATACATACATACTTGCTCATGTATTTTGCATAAGTATAAAATCGTAACAATATTTGCACATGAGATTAATACGATTATATTACGTTTCGCCGTCGTTCGCACTACATATTAGCAAGTCTATGTAAATACATGAATACAAACTTGCGTTGCGTGTGTGTGCACACAAAGATGTGCACATATGCGAGTGTGTGCGTGCGATGTTTCATGAAAAGTAATTTCATCGGACCATTTTCGCTCGCTTTTTAAATTCAGTTGTCCTTGTCGCGTATGCACGCAGTTTAGCTCGTATTATCGCCATATTTACAATTTATATTGTAACAATTTTGGTAATTTCTTTTTTTTTTTTTTTATTTATTTTTTTTTTTTTTTGCAAAAACATTGTCATTGTATATTTAATTAACTGATATTTTAACATAGAACATCATGAGCTCAACTGAAGAGAACAGCCCGGCAACCACGCCACAGGAAAACGATCCAACAGCTGAACAAGCCAATCCCAGAGATTTGGAGAAAATCGAAGAGGAGAAACTGAAGTCAAAATATCCAAGTGGAATGCGTGTGCCTGGTGGTCATTCTGCCTTCCTTCAAAAGCGTCTTCAAAAGGGAGTAGGTTCTGTTTTCACCTGTTTCATCACTAACAATTCTAACTTTTCATATTCTCTTCATAATTTAAGCAAAAATTCTTTGATTCTGGAGATTATCAAATGGCAAAGCAAAAAGGTGGCAGTGTTAAGCAGGTGTTTGCCAATAAGGTGACTACCGGCGAGGCTATACCAACGCCAGAGACGGTGCCTGCTCGAAAAACGTCGATTATTCAGCCGTGCAACAAGTTCCAAACGACGAGCTAAGCAACATATTATACTGTTTACCTAGAAGCTCCTCACCCCTTGATGCGCTCCAAATGCTCTTTAATTAATATTCTAGTTTATTACTAAGTTGGCTGATCTATGATGTGCACTTAGCCTTTGCGCTGGCGCTCGGTTTGCCGAATTGTAAACATTTCATTCTCAAGTTTTCTTTGATTAATTTATTCCCGTGAACCCGCATTTGTTTATTTTTCTCCTTTGCCTTTGCTCCAATAAAATTTCGCGTATCTATATATCGAGCTTGCGCCAATCTCAAGAACATTGAATGTATTATGGCACTCCTGAAGCAGCATGTAACTATTCAAAAGTTCTAATTAACAATATATTATTCTGATCGTATGTAGCTGTAAGTTATTGAAATCGTAATAAACTTAAGTTGTAACCAGTTCAATTCAAAGTGTATTTAATTACTGGTAACATATAACTTTAAATCTTGATTACAAGTCGATCATTTTGTACATCGTAGGGATGTACTCCGTCAGCAAGTATTGTTGCAAATCAGACACAATGTAGAAACACACATAAGTATTTAAATATGTTTTTGATAGAAATGCCAAAATAAGAAAAAATATATATGCAATCATAAATAATATCGTCTCACGGTTACACGAAATTGTTATCGATGAATACGATTAGTAACATCAGGTCTTCAGTCTCATCTCCAAAACATTCAACGAAAAAAAAAAAAAAAAAACAAACAGTTCAATTTATTTGCAGTAATTTTGTATTGGAAATTACTTGATCAATAAGCTGTATTTTTTTTATTTTGAATGGAAGCAGTTTGTAATTCCAACGAGCCTGTTGTCAGCTTAGTCACGAAAATAGTTGCTCAACTTTCGCGAAATGAGCGCGCCCAAACGGATGAAGCAGCTGCAGTGCAGCCGTCGCCTGCTTCCATTAAGGAGAGACGCAGAAAACTCTACGAATCGCTACTGTCATCTCAGAAGTTTGAACAGTGCACCGACTTAAATTGTGCGCTGGGCAACAATATTGAAAAATGTATCCAAAACATGTATACCACCCTGGAAAAGCAAGAGACCGACCGGCAACAAAAACAAGAACTACCAAAGTCGGTTGGCTTACGTAGGAAAAGCAATATGATGTTGGCCAAGCCTCTACGATTGCAATCGAGTCCCTGTTTCGAGGAGCAGTTTCCACAATATGCTGCTGACACAGCTCCTAAGATTTTAAGATCAATCGAGAATATGCGGGACTCGATGAAGCCGGTTGTTTTCCGCTCCTTATCAACTGTGTATTTAAAAGACATTAATGCGATGCGCAATGCCCACAAGAATCAGAATAAATCCAGCTTAAAGTCCTCAATACTGAAGGATTCAATGGCACGTATGAACGAATCCAAGAGAGGGACAAGTCGTGTGAAGATTAATTTGCCTTTACGGGATAAAGATGAACCGCCTTCAAGTGAATCCGTGGTTGAGAAAGACTCATCGACTAATGTAACATTGGAGAAGCATTTTGTTTCGGATCTGCTCTTGAGCAACGAGCTGAAATGGCACCAGGATAAGACATTAAAATTAACTTTCATTAAGCTGCCACTTCTTATCGAGCATCTAAAACAGGCTGCAGGTGCGCAAATATACATTAACTAATATTTCAAATAATTAATTAAGTTCTAATTATCTAAAGCGGGTCTGCAATCAGACACAATTGTGTGCACAGCCGAAGGAAACTTTATGATGAAGCCCCACATAACTCTAGACATTGTTTTGCCCGAGCTGCTGGCTGAATACGCAGAACCATTCCTTGTCTCTGGCAGAGCCTACCGTCGACTCAGTGCGCGCACTCAGTGGCAACACGAATCGATTCGCAATGAACGGCCTCTCAACCGAGTGAGCACAAACATATAAAATTTGAAGGTTTCGTCATGCAACCATGATTTATCTTTACAGGCTTTGCGTCAGGCAATAATTAATTTTATTACGAATAGCCGGCTCTTTCTGCTATCGATACCTGCCGAAAATTTAGGACAGTTGCTGAGCGGCGCAGGCCCCACCATGGAGCTGCTAAAGCAGATGGACCAGATGCTTGAACAGGAGCAGAGTAAGATAAGATGTCCAGCAACTGTCCTGCTGAGCTTTAATGTATTCGAAATTTCAGTATGCGATACGGAAGGAATAGACGGCATGTGCGCAATGAATCTGATGAGCTTCGTTTGGTCGTTCATCAATGGGGGCATCGATTGCACATTCTCACAATTACTCATGTACCTGCTGAGCTCGCTGTGTGAGATGTACTTCGCACAGCTGAAACGTTGGGTTTACCAAGGCGAACTCGACGAGCCCTTCAACGAGCTCTTTATTAATTCTTGCACGCATAAATTGATGCACGAGCGCAGCAAAGAGTATTTCGACAAGGCTTACTATATACGATCCGATCTAGTGCCTGGCTTTCTAATGGGCTGTGAACAGCCCATACTCCAATGTGGAAAATACAACCGATTTCTTAAAACCTATAATGCGCAGGTGAGTAGACACAATATATATATTTAAAAGATTGATTAATAGATTAATTACCCTTTAGCATCCAGTATTCAGTTTAAAGCATCCCAACTTGGTTCTCTGCCTATCGGAGCAGCAGCTGATGAAAATGCGCCAGGAATTGGAGCTGCATTACGATCAAATACGGCAGACAATCAAACCATTTAAGATGCAAACCATCCTCGAGGAGCACGTAGAGAATAGCCGACGCTACGGCAATCGTATGTGGGATTGCACTCAGTCCTTTATTGCAACTTGGAAGCAGGATCTGCTTGACTTACAATTAGAGGCGGACATCAAGAAAAAACGTCGCTACGAAGAGCTCAATGAGCARCGAGAGCAACAAGAACAGGTGCGCTTGGAACAGCAACGCTCTGAGCTAATGCTGGAGCTGGAATACCAGCACAAATCCAATAAAATGGAAGAGCAACGTTTGCAGCAGAAGAAAAAGGAGTTGGAAGAGAAAGTTGCTGAGTTAAAGCAAAAGATGACAACTCCGCTGGTATCGACTGATGTTGCCAGCCCAAACGATAGCACAAGCAGTAGTCACAGTTTTGTGTCTTGCGAGGAACCAGATATAGAGATAGTGGCGGATAAAAGAGAGACAGCAGAGATGACACWGCCCAATCCAATTAAAGTGGCAGAGCCCAATCCAGTTGAGGTGACACAGCCCAATCCAGATGACATCGTAGAGCCCAATCTGGCAGATGTGCTCAATTCGAATGAGAGCGACAAGAGTTTGGAACGCAATCGTATGCGCAACAATTCATCCGAACAGTTCCAGGAATGTCAAATGAAAGTGCAGCTGCACCAAGTGGCACCCACCAGTGCAGCTTCTTACACAGACGCGGAGCTGAATCGTATGCGAGTTCTCAATTGCACGGAGCAGCAACTGAGCACTAAATTGCCGCCAGACATGAACATGAATATCGAAGATCTCACAGACCTGCAGCGCAACCGTTTGCGCATGCATCATCATAATAATTTCAGTTCGTTTAACCATGACGACGAGGTGAATAGCGAGTCTGAGAAGCGTCTGCTGCTCTCAGACACGGAACTTGCACGAAATCGCCGTCGCGTGATGGAAGGCGACTTCACAATCAGTGGAGGCTTGGGCAACACCTTGTATTTGCCATTGCAGCCACAGGACCTCAGAGTGGAGTCCACATTAGACAGTGGAACGCCCATGTCCATTACATCCGATGTGGAAATCGATGTCCAGATTCCAGAAGAAGTCATTGACGCGGCTAACAACAATGACGCAAATAGCAGAATTGTGATCAGTGATCAAGAAGACCTCGAGGAGATCGAAGAGGCATCCGTAGTAACAGAGCCTGCGCCCCGAATATTGCCTGCACGCCGAATATTGCCTGCACCGAAAGAGAAATCCGTCTTTAGCTTACCCATAACACGAAGCGACGGGGAGCAGTCACAAGCAGCGAGTCCGACAGAAGAAATCGGTCATAATCCGTTTTTAGTCAAACGATATATGCAACTCTCTGTCCTGTTGCCAGTTAAAATGCATTTGTCGCTGTTGCGCAACGAGGTTCTGCGCATATTTCATGAGCAAAGGATTTATGATTATTTTTGTGATCTACGCAAATATTTCTTTTTGCTAGACGGTGAATTCGGAACTGTGCTTATTGGCGAAATCCTGAGTCGCATTGAATCCGGCTCAGTGCCACATAGTCTGTGCCAAAAAGGCGTACTGGACTCCATACTCAACAATGCGCTGGCCAACAGAGCGATAGAGGGTTCTGAATCGGCAATAGTTGCCGATAATTTGGCCTTGAATTGCACGACCATTCCGGACAACTTTGATCTAATGGACATAAATGCCTTGTCCATATTCAAGCTGGAGTGCAAGATGGAGTGGCCACTGAACTTGGTGCTCAGCGTAGAGACCATGGAGAAGTATGGGCAAATATTCTCTCATTTGATCAAGCTGCGACATATCAGCTTTATAATGGAGCGGACCTATCAGGACTTCCAGCAATCATCGAGACTCTATGGTCGGAGGCTACAGCAATCGCCGCAGTATCGCCATTTGCAAATGATTCGTCACAAATTGTCGCACTTCGTGTTCACGCTGCAGAATCATCTAGTCACAAATGCATTAGAGGGCACGTGGAAGACCTTTACTGATGATATAATCGCGGTAGGCTCTGTCGAGGAACTTTATCAACGACACGTCGACTATTTAAAGGAGATTGCATTCTTTTCGCTACTCAATCGTCGGAGTGTTAAATTTCGGGAAACCATCGATAGTATACTTGTGATCGCCCTGCGTTTTTGCAAGTAAGTTGAAATTTTAAAAACAGTATATGCGCATTTTTTAAATCATATTTTTGTACACATTTCCTACATTGCAGAATTCTGAGCTCGAAGTCATTTGTTTTGGATGAAGATAATCAGTTTGTTCATCCACGTTATAAGCGATTAGTGTTCGAAGAAACGGAATTTGAGAAATTCATTCGTTATGCCATCTACTTGGGAAACAAGGTTGCTGCTTCAGGATACCAAGCTAAAATAATTGATCTTATACGTATCATTAATTATAATAACTACTATAAAGTATCTAGCAAGAATTAAATAAAATGTTATTAGTCTATGTTCTATTTAACATATATTCCATAAAAGAAATACTATAAGAAAAAGTCGAGCTTTACAATTCAATTGCCAAGTATTGTGATTTCATTGAGCTAAATAAACAATTCGTTTTAACGGAAAGAATTGAAATACAGATCGTTGCTCACAGAGTTATTAGTATTTTTTTAGCAGCATTTATGGCCACACTGGCATGGACTTGAAATTCAAATATATCGATAACATTTCGATAAATAACAATATTTTGTTTACCGACTGGTGCGGCAAAGCGAAGCGAGTTAGTTATTGACTACCTGCGCGACGAATCCGCGTATCACCCCAAAAATATTCAATTCGGAAGAAGCGGATCGCTGACAGGTCAGCAATCAACAGGCAGAGCGATTTGGCCATATTTGTAATGCTCGACTATAGGTCGACACTGCATATAAGTACAGCACGTTCAACGTACAACATGGACAGAACTTCGGATGCGGATGCGGTAAATACAGTAACCACAATGGCCAGTGTCGAGGTGCAGTTAAATAGCTCCTATATCCTTCAGTGTTCAATGTCTTCGCTAGAAAGCGAGAGTGATTTATCGCTGGCCCTTGAGCACGACATGGGCCAACCGGTCGACTGTGATGAGCTGCCCGCTTTCGAAATACGGGCTTACTCTCCTCATGGGCGCACGCCGTCGCCAATTGATGATTTGAATGCATCGGACTTGGAAACGCCAAAGCAGCTGCCGTTCCAACAGCAGCGCAGTCCTGGGCGTCAGAATAATCCAGAGTTTGTGGCCTTGCACGAGATCAATGCACAAATTAGTGCACCCAACAACAACGAAAATGCAGATGACTCAACAGTGGGCCTCAAGCATGCCAACAGCTTGGAAACCATTTTTGAAGGTGTCTTTTTGCACACACCGCCGCGTGAAAAGCTGAACAAAAGCGCAGGTTATGGCTCGAATCCTAACTCAGCAAATCGCTACACACCAAAACGCAGTCGCGCTAATTTGATGGAATTGGTGGCCATGAATCGTCTGCACCTTGATGGACAGGAAAATCAATCGCCAAGCAAGCAGCTGCAAGACGAGCTCACCTAGTTTCCGTCCTTGGGGCAACTGGGGCCCAAACCAAAGCCATATATGACACATTTGCTTAGACTGCCACAGATTTCCTAGATATAAGAATTTACGTACACTTTGTGTATCTCAATGTATAAGCATTACTTTTATATAATTTTATATTCTGGATGCTGAATTTAAATAGTAAAACATCTGTCTTTCCATGTTTTAAACATTTAAGGGCATGCGTGATTTATTTTATGGCACGGGACTGGGCTGCATTTTCCATTTCTCTGTTATTTACAGGTAGGCGAATCATGCGGATCAGGTAGTACCCGCATTCATTACCTGAACGAATGGTGGTGACCAATGCGAGGATGTATTAGGATTAAACAGCTGACAAGCTTTAGAAGTTTCGATCAGCCAGTTTATTCATACATCTGTTTTATGCGTAGCAAATGAGATTACAAATTTACAAAATGCTTAGCCTACAAAATTATTCACAGATTTGAGTCATTTGACCATTATTTAAATCGGAAGAACGCTTACGAATTTGAAGTAAGATTAGCTTTGAATCATATTCAAATCGCAGACCCTCAAGTAGCATGATTTTACACTTTTAAATAAAAACGGCGTTTTTCGTTCCCTTATGTTAATTTTAATAGTAATATTTGGCTTAAAATTAAAGATATTTAAAATTTATGTTCTATAAAGTTTTTCCTGTACATATATACATATATTTTTATATATTTAAGGGAAGTACTTTGTCTTTTGATTAAAAAAATTAATATTTTAAACTTTCATCTTACTTCTCTCATTTTTAAACATCCATAAACCAAGCTAAAGTTTTGATTTTTTATAAAAACCAAAAAACGAAAATACATAAAAATAACTTCATATTCAAAAAATTTAAAATATAGTAATTATAGATGAGTAACTGGATAAAAATGAAGTTGTGTATATAAAACAAATATATGTATATAAATACATATCAAAAACACTTCTTCATATTATCCTACTTATAAAAGATTATTGAAAACAGAGGAGTAATAACGATTGGGAGTGCTTATTAAAAAGTGTGGGGAATGTCTGATGAACACACAAAATAATACGAATGTATATATCGTTAACTGTTAATTTCGTAAGAGTTCTTATACAGAAATTTGTAAGTGAGGTGGCGCAACTAAACATTTGCTGTCGAATGCTGTACAACTTAATGTATATATTTATATATAGCATTGTTTCATTGAAATGGTTAAAAGTTCTTAGAGTGACGTGACGCCGAAAACACTTTGACTCGTAGCAGACCCGGATTGACCTCCTGCCAGCTGAAAAATATTACAAATTAAACATTTTACATTTTGTCAAATGAAAGACGTACCGCAAATGTCGTTCAGCCAATCTAGCCTTTACATGTTTCTTAATGGTGGATACTCCATTTGCACTGTGTAGACCTCGGCCCGTTATGATGAAGACATGCTTATAGACCCGTGTGCCATTGCGTAGCACATTTATGTGACGATCCAGGAACAGATCGAGACTGCTAACCGCCTCTATGGTATGCAAATAGTGTAGATCGAGCAGATCCGGATTGTTTTGTGTATGCTTGTGCACCTCCATGATGCAGTTGGCCGCGCGATGATTGAACACGTCGATCTTCTTCTTGTGCAGCTGAGCAATCTCCGAGTAGTAGAGCGCAACGCTTCCATTGCCTTGCTGTATCGCCTGCTTGGCCTTCAGGTTACATTCGGCTCTCAGCTGAGCGTGATGGGCGGCCAAGTTGCGTGTCTCCTCAAAGTCTCGCAATGCGGCGCATTTGGCCTCCTCGTGCAGCTGCGGAGACTGCGCTTTGCCATTGCCAGCAATACGAGGGCTGGCGACTTTCGGCTGGGACTGCTGCGGCTGCTGTTGCACTTGTTGATTGAGCTGTTGTAGATTAAAATTAAATCAAATAAGAGCATCATTGATTGGTAGTGATTGCGCTGACCTTTTCGTTTTCACGCTGTGCCTGCTCATAGAGCTCGGCGCTGGTTAATTCGACCTTCGCATTGCTGTCCAGCACCTCCACGGTCTTCGCATAGTTGTTGTCCGTGTCCGCAAAGACCTGCAGCAGCGTATCGCGTGGAATTTCCGGAAATTTCTCGCACAACTTCATTTTGGTTAAGTGAGTGGCAATATCATTTGGTTTATTTTGAATCGCATGATTTGCTGCCTGCTGTTCGCTGTTGTAGATGCTCCAGGCAAGCTCCATATCCAGCAGCTCATTAACATTGCCAGGCGATTCGCTGCAGTCGGCATATTTAGGATGTTTGAGCAGACGTGCGAATTGCTCGTCGTCTCGCAGTGTCTGCTGACGCTGTTCCTCGAGCTGATTGTGCACCGATTCCATCCAGATCATGTAGAGCTGTTTGGCCTGCTGTCGCGGCAGGAACACTTTGGTTGGCAATGACTCCGACTCTTTGGGCAGCATTTCACCCTCCCACTGAAAGTGACTGCGCAGCTGGTTAATCAAACATTCACCCAGATCCATCTCTAGTAATGCATTATCCTCCGAATCATCGTCGTCCTCATCAGCAGCAGAAGATGGACCAGCAGCAGTAACCGTGATTGGTGCTGGCTCCACGACCGGTGGTAGCGGTTGATCTAAAATCCCATTGCGTATGTCTCGTATCTTGCGCGTATGCTCCGAATACTGATCATCGCCCAAAACGAAACAATTCTCGATCTCCAGCTGCAGCTCCCTGTTGGCAAAACCATTGCCAGCATTGCGTTTGACACGCGGCTGACGCTGCGGCTTGGCCTGATATTTATTGGGTATCGGTGGGGATAGAGCAGCAGCGGCAGCAGCCACAGCTGGCACTTGAAAATTGTTCCGGTTGCATTCGCATTGAAAATCATCGACTTCCTGCAGCAACGTCTCGTCAGAATCGCCCGATTTGAGCTCATCTTCTTTGATCAATATGTCCACGGCCCAATACACATCGCCGTTGCACTTCCCATACAAATCCCAAAGTCCACTCAATTGCTTGTTCGGATACATTTGACGTAATTGCGCAAAGCCAGCCGCCTCGTTTGGACAGTTTAAGCTGTGGCGCTGCAAGGTATTCTGAGGAGCCTCTATGCCCGATGCTGGATCCACATTTACCACTGCTGCCGGTTGCTCATCACGCAGCAAATCCAACAGCGAGCATTCACCTGTGGCCCCTGCAGCACTGGCCACAGATGTCTGTGCCGGCAGGTCACTCTGTTGAGCCCAATAATTGTTCACATTTTGCTCATACGGCAGCCAAGTCTGAGCATTAACATTTAGTTTAAAGCCATCCAATTGGCTTCGGGATCCGGATCGTTCCGGTTGTTGAGATGGCGTTAATGGTGCTGGCAGCGTCGGTAACGGCGGGTGTAATCGCAGCTGCGGCAATGACACTGTGTATTTGGTATCTTTAAGAAACTGTTTATTATATAAGTACATTAATAATAATATTAGCACATATGCATCATTACACATACCCCGATTAGCTCAGACACGTTGGTCTTCTCATAGCGATCTAGCATGCGTTTGATGGCATCTTTCGGCACCTGGTGCACGTTCTTTTGGGCCAGCTTTGTAGCGGATTTGGACCAGCTTGTTTGGGGCTCCAATAGCTCTATTAAATAGCCATGCTGCACGGCGATCTGTACGTAGGGCTGCATTTCCCATTTCATAATATTCGTATTGTCAACTATGATGGGGCTCCAGCCAGCTGCCGCTTTGCACTTCACACGCTCCTTATTCCAGTCATGGGCTTCTGGTAGAATACTGGGATTAAATTCGTAGCCACGAGGCGTGATAAAGTAATCATCGGTGCTGTATACGAAATCCGTAATGGGATGCTGATCCAGCAAATGAATTTGATTCAATATTGATTTGGCCATTGTGGATTTGCCACTGCCCGCAGGTCCCCGCATAATGATCATAATTTTTTGGCCAGCTTGCGCTTTTCTACAGATCTCATTGATTTCCTTGGTCTGGCTGGTGTTCATGCTGTTAGCGTTCTTTTTTGGCGTAGCAATTGTTTCTGGCACAATATGTTTGTTTGTGTTACAATTGTTGTTATTGTTGGTGGTATTGCGGTTGTTGTTGTTATTGATGGTGTTGGTATCGTTCTCTTCATTTACGGAGAGTTTTTCGCTAAGCCAGCATGCAATATTTTCCGCTTGTTCAGCAAAGTTTCCCGCCGCTGACATTTTTGTTGTGCTCGCTGCTTTTCTCTGTTCTTTGCATAAAGTTTTCGCCTGGCATCAAATTTGAAGGACATACACACATGTGCAGAATACATATACATATGTAAATAACTGCGCAATTATCTTCTTTAGTAATGCTCACAGCTATAGCGCCAATGGATGATCCTCAAAAATATTTAGAGTCAAAGTATTAACCTCACCTCTAATATCAATTAGTTTTGAATTCAAGATGTACCCTAATTGTCGATGTGTTGCACAAACAGTCGTACGTCGTACTCCGCATTAATTATTTTATAAATTACTGATTTCGTTGCCGAATTCGACCGAAGTTCTTAAAATAAGGCAGTAAATTTTCCAAAACATTGTACAATTTACTCTACGGACCGTCGACATATTCGATAGTGGTATCGATATTCTATTATCTTAGAAATTGGCAACTATTAATTGTATCATCCCTATCTGCAAGATTCTGCCAACAAATATCGCAATACAAACACAAAGCTACATTTTAATTATTCAATAATTTTGTTTATATTAAGATATTAAGCGTTTTATATATTCAAATTTAATGCTCTTCTCATAATTAATTTCCATTCAATGGTCTAATTTGCGTGACCAGCATACTAAGCGGAACGATATAGCTATATATCGTTATCTTTCAATGCACGCATCTCTATAGCAAACAGCTGCATCAGACATCGACAGTCTATCCACGCTTTTGTAAAGCTCATTTTGAATATAAAAAAAAAAACAGCAAAAAAATTGAAAAAATGACTGACTGGGTTAAAATTGCTGAAGACCAAGAGATACCGAAATTCAAAATTGATTTAAATGCAGATGAACCGGCTCCGACAACAACGGCTAGCAAAGACAATGAACCCGATGTTGCGGACCCAGCGGAAACGAGTCTACTTATAAAAATATTGGGCAAGGGATTAGTTAACACCAAGCAGTCGTTGGATATTCAACAAAAGAATCCAAATTCACCATTGCATTCAGTGAAAACATTTGAGGCACTACATCTTAAGCCCGAACTACTGAAGGGTATTTACGCCATGGGCTTCAATACTCCATCAAAAATTCAAGAAACTGCATTGCCAACTCTGCTTGCTGATCCACCACAAAATATGATAGCACAAAGCCAATCGGGTACAGGAAAAACCGCAGCATTCGTCTTGGCAATGTTGAGTCGTGTAAATGTTGCCCTGGACCATCCTCAAGTTCTATGCCTATCGCCGACATACGAGCTTGCAATTCAAACTGGAGAAGTCGCCGCACGCATGGGTCAATTTTGTCCGGAAATTAAACTAAGATTTGCAGTTCGTGGAGAAGAAGGTAATTTATTTTCTTTCAAATATATTTGTATAATAATTTCATGTATGTTTGGAATTAGTTGATCGCAACTCAAAGATTACGGAACATATTTTGATTGGAACGCCTGGTAAAATGCTAGACTGGGGTCTCAAGATGCGTCTGTTCGATATGAAAAAGATACGAGTATTCGTATTGGATGAAGCAGATGTTATGATTGCTACACAAGGACATCACGATCAATGCATTCGAATCCATAAAATGCTCAGCTCACAATGCCAGATGTTGTTCTTCTCGGCAACCTACGACAAGGAGGTGATGGACTTTGCACGCTTGATTGTACCGGAGCCAACTATAATTCGATTGATGCGCGAAGAAGAATCTCTGGACAATATTAAGCAATATTATGTAAATTGCAAAAACGAGGAAGGCAAATACAATGCCATCCAGAACATCTATGGCTGCATCAGCATTGGCCAAGCTATTATATTTTGTCACACACGCAAAACAGCCGCTTGGCTGGCAGCTAAAATGACAGCCGACGGACACTCAGTTGCTGTTCTCTCTGGCGACTTGACCGTGGAGCAAAGACTGGCCGTTTTGGACCGGTTCAGGTCTGGACAGGAGAAGGTTCTCATTACCACGAATGTTCTCTCACGCGGCATTGACATTGAACAGGTGACAATCGTTGTTAACTTCGATTTGCCTGTGGATCTACGCGGTAACGCCGACTGTGAAACCTATTTGCATCGTATCGGTCGTACTGGACGATTCGGCAAGTCGGGTATTGCTATAAATCTGATCGATGGAGAAAAAAGCATGTCCGTTTGCCGTGCTATCGAGAAACACTTTCAGAAAGATATCATTTACTTGAACACCGATAATGCTGATGATATTGAAAAGATTGGTAATTAATTCATTGCAATCATTCCTCTCATTTAGCATTAAGCCAGCAAGTATGTGAAATTTCGTTCGAAATAAAAACATTTTTGAATTTAAGGTGTCACACATTTTTATCTATTCAACAAAACAAAAGTATTAGGATTTGGAATTAAAAAGCGTCAAAAACTATGAAAATTTGTTTTCTTAGCAATAACAGCAAGGCAATATTGTAAGCACATAACTCAAAAGGTTTATAAAATTGATAGCAGATGAGTCGACCATCAGCATTCGTCCGTGATCTTGGGGCCCATAAGACCTAGGAATTCAAAATCTAACAAGTATTCTCTGATATAAAGTTATTAAAGTTTAAAGAGGAAATATTAAGTTACTCCAAACCTCACTGTCTATCTACTATACATACTTATGTAGGTAGGCTAGCTTATATAGGTAGATCTTTTTTGCGATTACTACTAAAATTAATATCCATTCAATTTCAGCTTCTTCACAATTATTTCGTGTTCATTGGATAGATTTCTAAAATATACATTTGCATAACATTTTCAGACTCCAGATCGTGCACTTTGTTAAGCCAATTACTAGATATATTAATCCCTTTACCAAAGGTGGTACAAGCATACAGATTAATTTTCCCAATATGAAAAGCAATGGGGGTAAAATCCTAAGAACACATTTTCCTACGGTTAAAATTAGGATACCCGAATATTTTAATATAACAAAAAGTACACCTCCGCATCCCACAAAAACACAAAGTACATTATCCCAATTAATTGAATTACAAAAACTCTCGAATGTTTCGTTTAGAAATCTAAATGTAAATGAATTTCTGCTTTCGCTGTTATTATATTGCCTATCATAATTGGCACGCAAGACTGGATCGGATAGCACTAAATAGGCCCCAAGAATTTTTTGGAACTGCTGCTTGACTTGGGGGTTATCACTACTACCATATTTAGCAGCCAATTTACGAAATGCATTTTCAATATTCTTAGTTGTAGCACCCTTTCTTATTTCTAGAGTTTCATATAAGTTCGTGTAGTCTTGATCGGCGTTTTGATATTGGGATCCATTGTGATAACTATTCCTGTTTGTATGGTYCCGGTTTTCCTGCTGATGGCCATAATAGTTCCAATTGCGATCGTCCTGATGGGAGCTTTGATTTCGGTATCCATTTTGATGACTATTCCAATTTCGACTGTCCCGATTTTCTTGCTGATGGCCATAATAGTTCCAATTGCGATCGTCCTGATGGGAGTTTTGATTTCGGTATCCATTTTGATGACTATTCCAATTTTTATTGTCTCGGTTTTCTTGCTGATGGTTGTTCCAATTGCGATCGTGATGATATTCCTGATGTTCTCTCTGCTTATCTCTTTGTTTGTCTTGATTTTGATGATTTTTTTCATAGTTGCGATTATAGCTCGATTTCGAGCTATCGTTTTGATAATGGCGTCCATTTGACTTGTCGTCTTTTGTCGGGCCTGGGTTGCCCTGTCTATTATTTTGATCATGATTATAGTTCGATTTTGTGTTCTTCTGCGAGTGGTGCGACTGCTTTCCTTGCTCTCTATATTGTTCATTTTGTTTATTAATATATGTCCTATCATATTCTCTACGTAGCGCCGGATCTGAAAGTACTCTCTTTGCTTCATTTATCATCTTACTCATTTTCACAGCATGTTTATTTCCTGGATTCTTATCTGGGTGCCAAATTTTGATATGTTTATAATAGGCTGATTTGATTTGGCTTTGGGTCGACTTTTGCCCAATCTGAAGAGTTTTATAGTGATCTTGAAATTTCGGTCCCATTTCAAAGCATGTGTTTCTTTTGAACGGCTAAGCTGCGGATGCTTACGTGCACTGGTTAGTGTTACGTGTGATCTCCCGAATTCCGCTAGCCTTGCTACATGTTTTCTGTTAACTTAACATTACTTTACAAGTTATTAACAGCGAATTAAAGTTATCGGAAAATATCGAGAGTATCGCGGTTTTAAAAGCGGGCTTTTAGAGGAGGGTATTAATGTATTAGCCGAAACCATGGAAAACATAGTGTTATACTTAAATACTTAAGAAAACAGAAAATATATATAAAACTTCATTGAAAACCAAATACTCATATTAAACAAAGATAAGAGAGCGAATCATTGATTTTGGCCTAATGAATCTAAAGCAACGGATCTATCAAAAGCTTCGGTTTTTTTAATAGTTCAGTACACAATTAAAAACAATGCTACAAAATGAAAAACAATTAACCATTTGAAATAGTATTGTATAAATTATCATTAGCTCAAGAAGTTAATTTTATTGCAAGGTTCTTTCGAGTTATTCAACCCTGACCTGATGCCCACTTCCATATTTTAGACAACACATTAATAGAAGAAGTCGTGGTAGATAATGTAGAATCACCAGTTTGCGAAGAAAGCTTGCCCATAGTCCATTGCCAAGCCTTTGAAAGTGGGCCAACAGACGAAGCCATGGCAGAAGATGTTGAGTCTCCACTTTGAGATGACATCTTGTTTGCGGTCCACTGCCAAACGCTTCCTGCCGATCCTGTTGTCCATGACCAAGCTTTTGAAAGACCTCCGGCAGCGGAGCCTGCAATAGCACTAACAGACGAAGCCAYYGCAGAAGATGTTGAGTCTCCACTTTGAGATGACATCTTGTTTGCGGTCCACTGCCAAACGCTTCCTGCCGATCCTGTTGTCCATGACAAAGCTTTCAAAAGAGCTCTGGCAGTAGAGCCTGCAATACTATAGACAGATGAAGCAATTGCCGGAGGTCCTTGCACAGTTGCGGTAACAACGGAGTCAATTGGCGACGATGATTCTACAGTTGACTTTTGATTAGTTATTTTCCATATTTTATCTGCTGATTTCAATATCCAGCTCCATGATTGTGGTATTAGGTTAAATGTTGATGTCGACACTGAATTCTGTTCTGTGATTTGTGGTGCCACGATGAAAGAAGAGCTCTGCAATGGTTGCTTATTTAAAGCTGATCCGAGCTGATACATTTTGTAGGCAATTAGGCTCGCCAAAATAGTTCCGCCAGCAAAGTAAACCACACTCAAATAGTTTGATCGATTCCATCTGGGCAGAAAGATACGAGGCATTCGTAGATATGAGTTCTGCGATGGTGCAGTAAGATCTATTTGTTCCATTCCACTGAGTACCAAATATGCATACACAATTTGCTGAAATCGTTTGACATCTTTCAAATAGCATGTGGCCAGGAGTTCGCGATAAGCTTTGGTAATTTCTCCTCTGGTCGCACTTCTCTTTATGTTGAGAATATCGTAGGGATCGTAGCTGACCATGGCGGCGTCAAGTGTCCTAATGGCAAGTGCGTATGTTAAAATTAATTTATTTAGCAATGATGCTTACAAGTATTATATATATATTTTATACATATATTTTACCGTGATTTGACTTTTCAACTTTGTTGTTTTCATAGAATAAAAATCTTAACCAGAGACCGAAAGACGATACTGTTGCCGTTATGTTAATTGTTTGCAGCCTGTCTATCGATGGCAAAATACGATACTCATTAGGATAGTTAATCGATACTTGAACGATGATCGTCATCTTCAGATTTTGAGATTCAGCTAAAACAATTAGTTAAAATCTTGTATTTTTTTCCCAATATGTAAATAAATAGGTAACAATATTAGTTTCTTTTTGGAACATATAATCTGTCGAAATTAATAGATTTATTCTAATTTAATCTACACAGATCATAGTTGGGCTTTTAACAGCAGTATATCGATGAATCGATTATTGCTGTAAAACGTAAATGTTCAGATTTAACTAACATGATGGACCGGGATTGGGGGACTTACCGATTTGCACAATTACTTGGTCACCCAAGGTTTCTTCTCTTTGCTGGTTTTAATTTTTTTTTAATTTTAAATTCATCATTTAATGCATTACATTTTGGCTTATAATCTTAAAATAGAAATAGTGTAAATAGTTTTGTTAGCCCCAGACTTATACATACATATGTAAATATATTGCAGAGGATACTACACCTGCCCTATCCCTTCTTTACGAAGCGGAAACTAATTTACTGCAGTGCAGCAACAGAGTTTCCGTTAATAGCAAGAAGTAAGTAATAGCTCCTTAATCGTCACGACCAAAATATTTATTTACATTCCATGATGAAATTAAGTTTTGAACAAATGTCCAAAAAAWTTTTTWATTTACTTCTGCTTAATACAGAATTTTGTTCTTCGCATCCATATTACCAAATTTTACATACAACAATAGAAACAATTTTATACGTATTTCTTAACAATTCTGCTAAAATTGTGAATAATTAATTATAATTTTGGAGATTCATTCACTGTCATCATTTTTGCGATCCGCATTAGGTTTCTTGGTAAAATATTGGAATGTTTTGAATGCTGCAAAAGCAAACAAAACTGTTCCTCCAACGGCGCATATAAACGGTAGCATATCAGCTGATGGTTCTGCGAAAGTAGTTTGGCCAAAGCCGTTTTTGAGGCCTTCTGCTCCATATTGGTCGTATAACTGTCGTTTTTCCTTATCTGATAGTATTTCAAATGCTACAACAATCTCCTTGAACTGGTCTGCAGCCTCTGGGTGGTCATTTTTGTCTGGATGATACTTAAGGGCCATTCGCTTGTAAGCTTTTTTGATTTCCTCATCAGTTGCCGTCCTGTTGATGCCCAGAATCTGATAATAATCTTTGCCCATCGTATTAATAATTGTAAATTTTGTTTCTTGGCTTATTTATGTGATGAGTAATATGTAAGCGTTGTATATTGCACAACTAGATTTTGATCACAGCTTGAAAATATATCCAAGTGGGCTATCGATATTTAATAATAATATTGACGATTTGGAATAACGAGAGTGGTGTTCATTTCATGCATGCAACGTCAATGCGACCACATCGGTTTTGTCTGTTCTATGTTTTTGGGGTAACACTGTTTTTAGAGTTGAGCTATCGATTAATTATTAACAGTTGATCATGGTTTCTATTAAAATATGTTTACATCTATTGAATTGAATATGGAAAATTTTATGAGGATTCCATTTATTTAAGATAAAGACACTAATGGCTAATATTCGAGATCGATTAGATGATAATTGTGGCAACCGATGTATTTTGTATATCGTAGCTACAATCGATAGATTCATACGGAATATCGCACATCTCGTCCATTTGGTCCAAGTCACCACCGCGTATAGTTTGTGTTTTGGTAAGTGAAAAATAAAATCTTGGAAAATAAATGCCATCCTTATACTATTATTTTGTAAAATATGGAATTTGAAAAAATTGTGTAATTATGTAAAGCATAGTAATGATATATTTGAATTTTTGCAGTTCTTAAATTCAATCGAGTCCCTAATACAGTTACAAAATGGTTAGGGAGAACAAAGCAGCATGGAAGGCTCAGTACTTCATTAAAGTTGTGGTATGTTGGCTAATATTTTTATAGAATCTTATGCGTATGAATTTGCTAATGAAATTTCTTGAATGTAGGAACTGTTCGATGAGTTCCCAAAGTGTTTCATTGTAGGCGCTGACAATGTTGGCTCCAAGCAGATGCAGAACATCCGTACCAGCCTCCGTGGTCTCGCCGTCGTACTGATGGGCAAGAACACGATGATGCGCAAGGCAATTCGTGGACATTTGGAGAACAATCCTCAGTTGGAGAAGTTGTTGCCGCACATCAAGGGCAATGTTGGCTTTGTGTTCACCAAGGGTGATTTGGCTGAGGTTCGCGATAAGCTGTTGGAATCAAAGGTGCGTGCACCTGCACGTCCGGGCGCCATTGCACCATTGCCTGTCATTATTCCGGCCCAGAACACAGGCTTGGGTCCAGAGAAGACTAGTTTCTTCCAGGCTCTGTCCATCCCGACCAAGATTTCGAAGGGTACAATTGAAATCATCAACGATGTGCCCATCTTGAAGCCTGGAGACAAAGTTGGTGCCTCTGAGGCCACTTTGCTGAACATGTTGAACATCTCGCCATTCTCGTATGGACTGATCGTGAACCAGGTCTATGATTCGGGTTCCATCTTCTCACCTGAGATCTTGGACATCAAGCCCGAGGATTTGCGCGCCAAGTTCCAACAGGGCGTAGCCAATCTGGCTGCTGTCTGTTTGTCTGTCGGCTATCCAACGATTGCTTCGGCACCTCACAGCATTGCCAACGGATTCAAGAACCTGTTGGCCATCGCTGCTACCACAGAGGTTGAGTTCAAAGAAGCTACCACCATCAAGGAGTACATCAAGGATCCCAGCAAGTTCGCTGCTGCTACCGCCTCTGCGGCACCAGCTGCTGGAGCTGGCGCTGCCGAAAAGAAGGAGGAGGCCAAGAAGGTCGAGTCCGAATCCGAGGAGGAGGATGACGACATGGGCTTTGGACTTTTCGATTAAGCACCACAACAATCACCAGCGATTGAGCGCTCTAATACAATTTTCCATGTTTACATTAATTCGGGCTAACTGCCTGTGCAAATTATTGCCGCGGCTTGACAAGCCCAATGGCAAGTTGCATGTGCAGTGAGCTACCAAAAACAACAACAATAAATATGTAAACTTGATATTTGTATACAAACTGTGTTTTTAATCTTGTACAATAGCTTCGATTCAATATTCAAAAGCTCTTGCATCAATAATGAAAATTGTTACTGCAAGCGTTGACTTTTTCTCAGATGCAGCTCTCGACATTGGCTAAGTTCGGTGCTCGCACTTATTGTTGCTAGCAACATTTCCGTCAGAAACATTGTTGCGTAATGTTGCTGAGCAGGCGAACAGATGTTTCGCTTGGCGATATTGTTGCTAAACATATTCAATAATAATACTGCCGGAATTCTAAAAGCAAGATTGCAGTAACTTCGCATGCAATGCATATTTGTACATATATTCAAACAATTCGTTAGCGTTAAGTTCTATATTTCTATATTTATTGTATATATTTGTTGTTAACCTTTATAAACTGAAGGTGCAGAAGGTTATTTGCTCCAAATTTCAATTCGATAGCTGCAAAAAATAATCTTTTCATTTCATAAAACAAACGAGGTTAGGTTAAGGCATTTCCATTCATAATAAACATTGAAATGAAATCTTAAATTAATGAATTCAATAAGAGCAGTCTAAATCATGCCAATTATGATTTTATATTTATCGTATCTATGTATATATTTATTTAAAGCTTAAAACCATACACTATAAGCATTTGTATTTGGAATATTTGTAGATCGACTATGTTGATGGCAAACTGTATTCCTTGTTGCATGTTGCACTCTTTAAGCTTAATTTTCTTTTCTTGGCTTTTATTTTACTTTTTTTTTTTGCCAACAGCCATTTTATTGCCCTCTTCAAATGGCCAAAAGGCTGCGTGTGCAATCCACGTAACGTTGCGACGTCTGCTGCTGCATTGTCTGCCACCCCATATATTTACAAAGTAATTACTTGTGATAAAATGAATTTCACAAGATGAGAAAAGTTTAAAGTTTTCGCTTGGCTCTTGCTGCTGTCGTTGGGGCTGCGACGCGTCGCGACGCCTTTTGATACTTTTATTTTATTTTTACTTTTTTGCAAGAACGTCGACGGCAACGGCGACGCCGCTCATAAAAATTCAATTTGTCTTGACAAAATACGCAAGAAATTAAGAATGTGCCAAGTTGCAGCAGCAAAAGAAACTTTATTTCCCTTTTATTTATTTTTATTTTATTTTTTTCTGAGGCGAAAATGAGTTACGCGGCTGGGGCGTGAAAATGAAAATGCCACGCCCCTCAACCAACAAAAGCCTCGGGCAAAGTTAAACACTGCATAACTAGCCGCGACCGAGAGACCGACGACCGGAGTTACTATGGATAAATAAAACCAATTTACAGACCATCTGCAACAGTTGAGCACGTGAGTTCGTCTGGCTACGATAGTTTCTAGAGATGAAGGTTGAGTAACCAGATTCTGAACTCGAGCCGAAATTCTGTTGAGTCTCAGTTTGGCGATAGCTTCAAGATGTGGAGGTAAAATATCCAAAATAAGATTGATTCAAAATAAAAAAGATTGTAACAAAAATTCTATTCAGATTTAAAATTTGTATCCTCGTATGCGTTCTATTTTTAATTCTTGTTTGTATAACTAGGTACCCTTTGCAGAAGTGAACTCTTATGCCGCCGAATTATATATCATTCAAGCGATTTTGAAAGACTTCCTCTAAATTTAGAGAACTATAAAAGTGTGTATAATTAATCATATCTAAATGGATTAACTAGTTAAAAAAATAAAAATTTAATAAAACAAGTAAGAAAGCTCTAGTCGAGACTGCTCGACTACGAGATCCCCTGAACCCAACAACTGATATTTCAACTGAGGGGGTGAATATAGGAGTGGGGGTAAATTTTAAGAAAAATCAAAATTGTATAAAACACATATAAGTCTAAATTTAAAATCTGGAAGCCCTAGCTCTAAAGGTGTAGGAGATATGGAGGGATGAACAGACGGACGGACAGACAGATGGATCGATTTAGCTCGTCGCCCTGATCAAGTATATATATTTTCTTTGTGGGGTCTGTCACGCCTCCTTCTGCCTGTTACATAATACCCTGATTTCCCATTTTCAATTGGTTCAGGGTATAAAAATATAATAGAATTAAGATTTAGTTTAGTTATAGATTTTCACTGATTTTATTCTATTTTCTCAAGTGATATTCACCTTAGATTTTCTCCTAGTCAATTTAAAGTTTACGTAACTAAGTTGATTCAACGTGATGTTTTTCAAGCCGAACCAAAGCGGCTTTACAGATTATAGAGATGACCGGCTCGATAACAATTACTTCACACAATATCTATTAATCACGTACCCATCACTAGAGTTTTCATTTGGTTCCCATTTGGTTGGTCGTAAATTAATAAAGGCATTGCATAATTTCAGGCGCCGCTGGCGGCAAATACACAAAAATTAACATAAATTGTGGAGGGTTGGCCGTACGCCCGCCCACCCCCCGCTGCCCAGCTCACCACATCTAATATCAGCACCGTCACTGACATTCGAAATCAAAATGCGATTGGCAAAATGATTTGCTTCAATTTTTGTGATGCGCATAACAAATGAAGTTTGGACATTTGGACAATTGATTGGGACGCCACGAAACGGACGAGCAAACAGCAACCAGATTTCAGAGTCAGAGACCAGAGACCCATATACATAGACAATATTCGATAGCACACACACACACACTATGCTATATCACTATATACAGACATGTACACACATACAGACACATGACATGCACAACAACAAAATGTGGAACAGTCGCCAGATTTGAGTTTCGGACTGGCAGTCTCTCCACTCAACTTGACTTGGTTTGGCTATCAATACGCATAGATAGATAGATTTGTATGCATATTTTTGCTTTGGCATTTCGTTTGTGTGCTAAACATGTGAATGCCATCGATATAACGATGATGCTGCCTGTCATGCATGTTTGTCTCGGCCTCTCAGCCGCCCAGCCTCCCAGCCTTCCAGCCTCCCATCCTCCGTCCATGCGATTTGCGCTCAGCTGAGATTTGTTTTGCCAGAAGATTGGCACACAAAACAGTTGCCCAATGGCCAAACAAATGCCACTAAATTCAATTTACGACTCACGTCCAAGAAAACAATAAAGTTATACAATACTTTGAAAAATTTTCGAAAGTATTCAAAATCTTCTGAAATTTCGTACATACAAAATAAATGTTCTCCGTGTCAATTTTGACCTGTGCTGTGTCATGTTGTCACCTAGGCAATTTAATATTATGCATGTGGTATAAGCAAGTTCCCAGTAACTCGATAATTTCATATAGCATCATCCAGAATATAACATATCCACATCCCAAAGCAACCCATTCGAATCGAGCTCTCATAATAGGCACGTGAAAATAAATTCCCAGCAATTGCTTTTTAGAATTTTCGGGCCGAGCACGAAGGGCGATAACTGCTCTTACACGAAAGGGGTGTGTGTGTGCGTGCGTGTGTCTGGCTGTTTTTGGGGATAGGACAGTGAATGTGTGGGTGTGACTGAGCGGTGGGGCTTGTGATTTATGTGGGCTCTCCTGTTCTCGTTTGGCTGCTGTTGGCAACTCAAAACATATGCATAGATAAATTATACGCGGTAAGCGCCCACAAGCCCCAAAATTGTTGACAACAACAGCAACAAAAACAACAATGACAATGACAACAACAACAATAACWAGAACTGCAACAATAACAACCACAATATGGAAGTGGAAGAGCAAATATTTTGATGTGACGAAACTAAATTGGGCGTGGCAAGGTGAGCATCACATGCTAAACAGTAGCATCGAAATTGTTTACCATATTTTTATACCCTGCTAAAGGGTATACAACATTGACCATAATATATGTAACACAAAGAGATGAATCATTGCCGATCTACATATATGCTATATGTTTATTGAATATATAATTACCTTCTGAAAATCATATAACTTACTGTATAAAATCTTGAATATTTTATCAAAGCATTTTACAAACCAATGTAACTAATGTAAGGGTATATAGTCTTGGTTTCCTTCTTTTCCTGACTGTGCATATAAACTTGACATATAAATACATATATTTATATATACATATGTACACATTTATATTACATATGTGTATATAAATCCATTTTATTGTTTATTTATTTATTTACTTCTTTCTTTTTTTTTTTTTTTTTTTTTTTTTTTTTTTTTTTTTTTTTTTTTTGCACCATGTTCGAATATATTGGCTGTCAGTCAGTTAGAAAATAGATTTTCAGTTATCATTGAAAGGTGCAGCAGCTGCCGGCTGAAAGTTCTGCTGTCAGGACTTCCACGCTCGCCGCCCCTCCGCCCCCTAGCGAGTCCACCCACAACTACATCTGGCCAACAAGTTGAGCTGCCATCAATTGTTACGATTCCACCCCGCATTCAGATGAAGTTGAGCTTTTGTTTTGCATTTTGCAAGTTTTATTTTCTGCTGCTGCGCTGTCTGTCCTAGGGCAGGTCGTGGGCAGTGCAAGTTATGCATAGTGAGCCATTTGCTGATGCTGCATTGAACTTAATCAAAGTTTCAGTCTAGTTTCCTATGAAAATGAACTCTTCTTCTTTTTATTCTTTGTGCAAAATTAATTAATTAAAACGGACGCAATGCTTGTAGTTAACATGATTAATTAGACTGATGCTGATTTAGATACAGATATTTAACTGAATTACATACCGTTATGCCACATATTATATATTCAAATATGGGCTTCTCGAATTAATATTTTTATAAAATAGTATTTTATATATTGTATTAAGTTATATAATTGGGTGCAGATACAATTTTCTGTGATATAATTATACTCTATTTTAATAATTCTTTTTTATATACAGACCTATATATTTATAAGTATATTGCCCTTACTCTACTTTCCATAGTCCTCCATCTTGCTAATCTATTGAACTAACTTGTATTTCTGAGAATCGCAGAGTAAGGCATGCTATGCGTGCTATGACAATGCGTGAAGGCATGCAAATGGACAAACTCAGATTGAAAGACCCACTAATCCCAA